ATCTTAGCTATTGTAAATTGTGCTGCTATGAACATAGGGGTGCATATATCCTTTCTGATTGGTGTTTCTGATTTCTTGGGATATATTCCTAGAAGTGGGGTTGCTGAGTAATGGAAGTTCCATTTTTAATTTTTTTATGAAACTCCATACTGTCTTCCACAGTGGCTGCACCAGTCTGCATTCCCACCAGCAGTGCACGAGTGTTCCTTTTTCTCCACATCCTCGCCAGCACTTGTCGTTTGATTGATAGATAATAGTCATTCTGACAGGTGTGAGATGGTACCTCATTGTCATTTTGATTTACATCTCTCGGATGATTCATGACTTGAGCATGTTTTCATATGCCTTTTTTTTTAATCCTCACCTAAGGATACGTTTTTATTGATTTTAGAGAGAGAGAAAGAGAGAAGCATTGATTGGTTGCCTCCTGCACGTCCCCTGACCAGAGATTGAATCCAAAACCTAGGTATGTGCGCTGACCAGGAATCAAACGCATCATCTTTTTGGTGTATGGACGATGCTCCAACCAACTGAGCCACCTAACCAGGGACCCACTTTGTGTGTTTTTTGTTTGTTTGTTTGTTTGTTTGTTAATCCTCACCCAAGGATATTTTTCCAATGATTGTTTAGAGAGAGTGGAAGGGGCGAGAGAAACAGGGATTCGTTGCCTCCCAATTGAGCCTGCAATGTGCCCTTGACCAGAATCGAACCTGAGACCTTTCAGTCCGAGGGCCAGCACTCTTTCCACTGAGCCAAACCAGCCAGGGCCTCACTTCATTTTTTAGCTGGCTGCAATGCTGGTATCGTGGCTGCAGCTCTGGCAGCCCGCTGCACCATGAGCTAGAGGCCATGTTTGATATTGGCGGCCCAGTAAAATAGGAAGAGCCTGGATTCCTGATGGTTACAGAGACACCATAACAAACCCGGACTAAAGACCACCAGACGTCACTCATGTGAAAGAGAAATAAATGCTATCTTATTTGAAACACTATTATTCAGGGTTTCTCTGACACAGACAAAACTAATTCTAATTGTCACACACATACCCAGGGATAAAGGCAGCATCGGAGACGGGAGCATGCTCAGGAAACCACCTCCTCCCAGTGAGTGCCCTGGGCTGGTGGAGGGAGTGGACTGAGGGCTGGAGTGTGGCCCTCCCCCTCCACAGACTGTCCAGGTGAGCTCGCTCAAGATTTGCTGAGCGCTCTCCCTGCTGGTACAGCCAGCAGGTGCTTGGCCCCAGTGTGGCTGCGACTCCAAGCTCTGTCATTCACTCACACCACGGAAAAGCCAGGGGCAGACCCATGGGGTCCTCCTGCCTCCCCCCGGCCCCACTGCCTGGGAAGGCTCCGACCACAGATTGCAAAGCCTGGTAGGGTTTGCGGAGGTCACTTCTGTTTGCAGAGCATCTTACTTGAGCATGTCCATCTCTCACCCAGAATTGCTACCAATCGGAACATAATGGTGTGTTCCGCTCCACACCCGGGTCCCCAAACCCAGCCAGCACCTGAGGGTTACCTGGGCAGCTGGATTCCTGGTCTCTGCTCCCGTCCACCATCCTACAGATAGCATCACTGTGGCCCCTCCCTGTGGGCAAACCCTTTAGCATCAGGGCCCTCCTGAACTGGGCCAGGGGCAGCCTTTTGGCTGCGGACAAAGCTTGTGCCATCTGGCCTGGGCCTACGTGGGACTAAGGCCAGGACCAGGGACAAACACCAGTGAGTAACAAGGCCCATGCCCACTGCCTAGGGCCCACAGACTGCGCAGAGGTAACCGGAGGTGAGGAAGAGATCGCTGAAGGTATGGGAGTGGCGTTCTTTGTATGTAACACACTCCAGAAACAGGACCTCGTCATTCAAGGCCGGGGGGCGGGGGGCCGTGTGCTGGGTTGGCCTCTGTCCCAGCTCACCTTGAGCACGTTCTCCTCGTGCCTGGCCTCTCTAGACAGGGTCCCTGTTCCCCATCAAACCCTTCGCCCTATGCATACCCCTACTCTGTTCAGAATGCCTGCCCCAGAGGGAACCAACCTGCGGGTGTTGGGGGTGGGGCAGAGGAAGGCTTCTGATTGGCCAGTTCCTTGCAGATGTCTGCTCCACAGCCAATGAGAAGAGCCGCTGCAACTGTCTTAAAACCCCACAAAGTGGGGAGGGATAGGTGAATAGTGAGGGGTGTGGAGTGGGGGAGATCATAAGAAGCGTGTTTGGAGCTACCTGGAGAGGCCTGAGTCTGGGAAGGGCACAAGAACAGAGACTCCGACCTCTGGATGGAAACCACAGAACCAAGTGGGCAGGGAGCGCTTTCCCCCACCGGCGAGAGGGAGGGGTGGGATGGTGATGGCATGACAAGGGCAGCCTGGGAAAGCTGTCCTATGGGTGCCGGCCAGGAACCAAGGCGTTCATTCCATTCGTTCACACAGCCTCGGCCAGGCCCCCGAGGCCTAAGGGGGAAGGACAGGGGTCCCCTCAGGACAGTCGGGTGTGGCTGTTAGGGGTGCGGAGTCTGGAGCCAGCCTGCCTGGCTCCCCATCTCTGTGACCCTGGGCAAATCACTTAAGGTCTCCAGTTTTCTCCGCTCCAAATGGAGCTAAGAGCAGGCTGGTCTCCCAGGCTTAAGTGAGCGAGTGTGTGAAGTGAGTGTGTGAAGTAGTGTGTGTAAAGTGAGTGTGTGAGGTGCGGGAGGAGTGTGCCCCAGCCCAGAGGAGGCAGTGTGCATGTCAGCTGCTGGAGACTCACACCCACCCCAGGGGAGGCAGGAGCGGGCAGGCAGGCGGCTCCGTGGCAGGCGGTATCTCTGTGCTGGCCCCTCTGGGGGCCTGAGACGGCCAGGCAGGCGGGGCTGAGCCAGCGGTGATGCAGGACTGGATGAGGGTCCGGACATGAGTCACAGGGAGCCCTCCTGGCACAGACCGGGAAGTGTGTGTGGAGTTGGCAAACCAGGGCCACTGCTGCTCCCGTGGCACCGGCACCCAGGGGCAGGCACCCCCTCAACCAGCGTCTCCTCCCAACGGGCTGCCCAGCTCGGTGGCTTCAGAGCAGCCAGGGCAAACTCAGACCCGTGTCCCCTGAGGGTGTCCTTTCAGACAGTGGCATCTTTTATCATCATCACCACATCCCATCCCTTCCTCCCATTTATTGGGAGCTTGTTATGTATCAGGCACTGTTCTAAGCTCTTTACCTTCACTAAGTAATTTACTTCTCCCCTCAGCGCTGTGAGAGAGCAGTCATTATTTTCAATGCTGTTTGAAGATGAGGAAAGGTTTTTGGTGGACGTTCGGACCAAAGGTGACCTGTCCCTGCGGGTCATCAGGAGGCTGCGGCCAGGCCTCTGGAGGAAGACCAGTGCCCTGTGGGGGCAGGAGACACCGCTAAGCCCCGTGTGACCTGGACCAGCCTCCCCCGGCCCTGTGCCTCCTCGACTGCAGAGGAGGAGGCTAGATTCAGGGAGTCTGAGCTTGATGGCTCCTCCCTCAGCTTTCGTCTGGATTGTTCTCGCTGACCACATCTCAGGGAGGGCGGTTCCCGGCCCCACCCCTCTCCTGGGGGCTGCCTTAAGCACTTGTACACACACACACACACACACACACACAGTTCCGCAGGGCCCCTCCAATCCTGAAGGCCTAGCGAGGGGAGGGGTGACCATTTATTTCAGGAGCCAGACCAGAGAAGGACTGACTCTGGGAGCCAGAGGGCTCCTCAGTCTGGGGCAACAGCAATGCTGAGACACCCCCATCTCCAATTCCCTGGGATCCTTACCTCACCGTGTCCCCACCCCTGGGCCCTGGGCCCAGAGAGCACTGCCCTGAAGTCACCCCCTCCGCCCTCCCTAAATCACCCTCTCTGCTCGCCCCCAGCCCCACCCCACACACACAGTGCTGGGCCTGGCCCTGACCCCACTGACCTCTCCCCTCCCCCATACACAGAGCTGGAGCCTTTATCTCAGTGGTTCTCAACCTTCCTCATGCCGCGACCCTTTAATACAGTTCCTCATGTTGTGGTGACCCCCAATTTCATTGTTACAAATTGAACATAAGTAAAGCATAGTGATTAATCACAAAAACAATATGTAATTATATATGTGTTTTCTGATGGTCTTAGGCGACCCCTGTGAGAGGGTCGTTCGACCCCCAAAGGAGTCGAGACCCACAGGTTGAGAACCGCTGCTCTATCTCCGACCTGCCTTTCCCACTGCAACTCATCTCCAGTTAGAATTGTCTCCCTCCTCTGAGGCCTCTGGGCCCCTCCTAGGGTCTTTGCTCAAGACTCACAGCGTCTCCTCTCCAATCACAAATCTCTCCAATCCCTCCTGGACCCAAGGTAGACCAAGGCCTGGAGGCAGGAAGGGCAACTAAAGCTGGGTGTCCCCACCCCACCACCCCAGTTATGGCCCTGCGGGGAGCCAAGGATGCTCCCCACCCCACCGCACAGTCTTCAGAAACGGGAAAATGAAACCGCTCACACTGGCTCCCACCAGCCACTGACCACGCCCCTGCCCCCCCCCAACCCCTGCCTGTCCCTGGGGTTAGGATCCTGTTCAGCCTCTGGCCACATTTCAGCTTTTCCACATCTCAGACCAACTTTTACTCATTTATTCTTCCCTGGACTCAGGCAGACATGCATCTGTATCCTGACTCTCCCACTTGCTTGCTGTGCAACCTTTGAGAAGCCACA